GGGTTTTGGGAACTGGATAACCACAAGCAGAAAATGAAACTGGACCCTATTTTACATTACTCACAAAAATTAACTCAAAATGGATCAAAGACTTAAACATAAGCCCTAATACCATAAAGCTCCTAGGGGGGCGAAAAAAAAAAAAAACATGGGAAAGAATCTCCTTGACATTGTCCTCAACAATAATTTTCTGGATATAATACCAAAGTACAAATAGCAGAAACAAAAAATCAACATATGGAGCTATATCAAACTGAAAAGCTTCTGCACAGCAAAAGAAACAATCAACAAAATGAAAACCTACAAAGTGGAAAAAATATGTTCGCAAACCATGTATCAGATAAGGGGTTAACATCCAAAATATATAAATATATAAATATTGTATCATACAGCACAACAGCAAAAATATAAATAATGCAATTAAAATATGGGCAGAGGAAATGAATAAACATTTTTTCAAAGAAGACAGCCAAATGGCTAACAGGACATGAAAAGGTGCTCAATGTCACTAATCAGGGAAATGCAAATTGAAATCACAAAGAGGTACCATCCCATTCCTATTAGAATAGCTATTTCAAAAAGGCAAGTGATAACAACTGCTTGTGAGGATGTGAGAAAAGGAGACCTTTGTGACTGCTGCCGAAAAAGCAAACTGGTATGGCCACTGTGGAAAACAGTGTGGACATTCCTCAAAAAATTAAAAATAGAACTTCCAATATGATCCAGCAATTCTACTTTTGGGTATTCATCCAAAGGAAATGAAATCAGTATTTCAAAAAGATATTAAAAAAATATTTTAAAAAAGATATCAGCACCCACATGGTTATGGCAACATTATTTACAATAGCCAAGATATGGAAACAACCTAAGTGTCTATTGATGGACGAATGGTTTTTAAATGTGATACACACACACACACACAGATATAATTCGGCCATGAAAAAGGAGGAAATTGTGCAATCTGCAACAACAGGGATAAACTTTGAGGGCATTATGCCAGGTGAAATAAGTCAGAGCAAAAACAAATACTATATGATCTCACTTATATGTAGTATCAAAAAAAATCTAACTCATAGAATCAGAGAACAGATTGGTGCTTGCCAGAGGCAGAGTGTGGGGGAGTGGGGTGTGAGTAAATGGGTAAAGGTGGTCAAAAGGTACAAACTTCCAGTTATACAATAAGTAAGTCCTGGGAATGTAATGTTCAGCATGGTGATTAGTTAACAATACTGTATTGTATATTTGAAAGCTGCTAAGAAATTAAATCTTAAAAGTCTCATAAGAAAAACATTCTATCTATATGAGGTAACAGATGTTAACTAAACTTATTGTGGTAATCAATTCACAACATATACATATACCAAACCATTATGTTGTACAGCTAAAACTAATGCCATGTTATATGTCAATTATATCTCATTTAAAAAGAACATATTTCCTTTCTTCTGCTTACTTTGGGTTTAATGTGCTCCTTAAGTTTCTTAAGGTGGAAACTGGGGTCATTAATTTGAAATTTTTCTTCTTTTCTAATACAAGCATTTAGTGCTATAAATTTCCTTCTACATATTGTTTTAGTGGCATCCCACTAATTTGATATTTTGGTTGCATTTTCATTCAGTTCAAAATATTTTCTAAGTTCCCTTTTGATTTCTTCTCTGATCCATGGGCTATTTAAGTGTATTATTTCATTGCCAAATATTTGGGAATTTTTCAACAATTTTCCTGTTGTTGATTTTTAATTTAATTCCATTGTAATTAAAGAACATGCTTTGTATGACTTGAATCCTTTTAAATTTACTGGGACTGGTTTTATGGCCCAGCATATGGTCTATCTTGACTTTCCATTTGTACATTATAAAAACAAACCATAGGAATTTATGAGGTGTCAGTGTGTAAGTAATGGGCCCTCCTCCATCACTCCCTCAGGCCACCATGTCAGTCCAACAACACCCAACAGGAAAAGAGAGCCGGCATGCACTCAGTGCTTACACTGTGAGTTCTAAACTACCCTCTCCAGTCGGTTCTATACAATAGATTGTGTCCTACATCTCAAACACCTAGCTACAGACACATCCACTTATCCTCCCATTTTCTCTTCATCTTGCCCTTTAAGTAAACACAATGCCCTTTTACCTGGCCCTGTAGGCTGGAACCAAACAAAATGGAAAGGAATTCTCTATTAGAAGTTTTCTACTGTAGTTGTGAATTCTTTATAGTCAACTAAGCAAATGTTGGTCGAGCAAGTTTATACTGTGTACAAGGTCTGGTTCTGAGCTTATGGTTAATGTTGGGCCAATAAACAGGGATTGGTGTATTCAGAGAGGGTCAAATTGAGGGGAAGAGGAAAAAGGAAAGATTCAGTGTTGATGACAAGAGGAGCCCAACTTCCACAAAAGGGAAACCCACATTCTCTCAAGAAGATCATAGCAGGGGGTCAATCACCTGTGTTTTGGGTCAAAGCAGTCCCCTGGTAGATAGGAATTCTAAGTCTTCCCCACAGAACAACCTTAGAGATCTCCTTATCACTTTGATCACATTAAGTCAGCTAAAATTCTGCTCATCTTTAACTTATCTCAAGATTATTCAGTAGAATTGATACACAAAGAGCAAATACTCCTAAGTTAACCTCTTAGCAGTGGTTCTACGCCTTGGAAGTGGGACTGTTTAGAAGCAGTCACGTGCCACTACATGACAAGTTCATATGGCGTCAGTCCCTGAAGTTCAAGCCAAAAAACCACAGGGGTCTGGAGCAAGCGTAGCACACTAGAAACATCACCATGCTTTGTTTATAGGTCAGAACATCAAGTATTTAGCTGTCCCAGAACCAGCACAGAGTAATTACACTATTTCTCTCCATTTTCCATTATGCTTTCTTCGTGGTCTGGGGATCAGAAGAGTCCTTGACATGCCTAAGGGAATGGGGATCCCATTACATTCAGATAAACCCTTTTATCTGATTGGAAAAGATTAAAGTAACACAATGTCCTCTTAGAGCTTGGCTCTGGAGCCAAATGAGACTTGAGAGTGAGTCCTGCTTCCTGAGTGCCCATTAGAAAACCATCAAGTCATCCTCCTAGCCAAAAATTGCTCACACCAGCTGATGCTCCTCTTTACTACTTATGTAGTTGTTTCTCAGTAGCTAATAGTATAAGAAGGCTTAAAGGCATACCTTGGAGGGTTTGGTTCCAGACCGCCATAATGAAGTGAGTTGTAATCTTTGCTTGTTGAGGGTCTTGCCTTCAATTTGTAAAAAACGCAACATCTGTGAAGCACAAAAAAGCAATGCTCAGTAAAAAGAGGTATGCCTATATATTATTCAATTCTACCTTCCTCTCTGTCTACGAAATATTCTATGAGAATGAAGAATTCGCTCAGAACTCAAACAAAACTGCAAATGTCTCTCTCCCTATGCAACACTGCATGTTCTGTTCCAGAGAAATACTTATTATAACCAGATTTCGACAAGCCAGCTTCTGGTTTATTTCCATTAGCAGAATAATGGAGAACATCACTGAATACCAGCTTTCTACGTCAAATTTTTAAACAGCAAGGATATTTATACATGTTGATTTTAAAAAATTGGCATGGCCTCTGTTATGTGAAAGAGGAAAATATTATGGGAGTCAGGAAGTCTAGAAGATGGAGAAAGAGTTCACTAATAGGACCTATAAAGAAGTGCATTTCTTAACAAAAATCTTGGCAATCATCCATCCATTGGTACCACTGATTTTGGCATAATATTTGCAGCCATGGGTTAATGCACAAAATAATCAGCATAGTAATGTTGTCAGGACACAAAAAGGAAGCAGTCCAGAAATAGGCCCCACTTGTTTATTTAAGAGCATTTTTTTATTTTTTAATACATAAGAAACTGTTAACAACAGTTACCTCTAGGAAATAGCACTAGATTAGACAAATGTATATTAAAAGAAGGGACATGTTTATTTTTCATTTTATAAACTTCTGAGCTGCTTAATGCTGACTATGAATTACTTTACTTAGTAAAATAGCAATAAGGTAGAGCTGTTAAGTTTTAAAATCATAAAGACCTATAAATTAAGTGATGCCAGTAAGTCATTTGCGTGTGAAGAGAGTTACATTAACGTGTATATTTGTACATATATATTTACATATACACCTGAAAGCACAAAAAATATCTGTAAAAACACACCATAACCCAGGGATGAGAGTAGGAGGAACAAGGTAATATTTAACGTTCTTCATTATTTGGTTTTTTGACTTACCTCCGGGGATGAGAGTAGGAGGAACAAGGTAATATTTAACATTCTTCATTATTTGGTTTTTTGCAAATGTATTCACTTATGTGCTACTTAATAGTTAATATTATTTAAACCAGTAAACATTTAATGCTGGCGTAATATTTAAACCAGTAAAAAGGGGAGAATTTTTATAAAATCTTTTTTCCCCTATTTTGGAAGTTCTCCTCCTCCTTCTGGTAACAGCACTCTGAGGGACTGCTCTGACCACATTTTATCTGATTCAATCACAGGGACTACCCCCCAACACACACACACCTGAGTCAAGGTCAGGGGTGGGCACATGACCCAAGGTAGGCCAATCAGTTATCTCTCTCAGGAATTTGAATCATGAGCAGAAACACATGGGGACTCTGGAGGCATTTATAAATGAGTCATACTAAGACAGCATCTTAAAAGGCATCCCACGTGTTTGAGGCTATTAACCAATACATTTCCTGGGCTCCTGTCCTTCTGAGTTCTGGCTTTTCAATTCTTTCTTTATGTGTCCTTCCAATAAATTCCATTTTTGAAAACAAAACGAATGGAAAGAGGGAGTAACAAATTTATTGAAAACAATAATGAACTCAGGACTGATCACATGGAGTTCATGTTTCCTCTAAGACATTCAGATGGAAATGTCTAATATATTATTGGAAATATGGGTTTGGAACTCAGTAGAGAATAAGAATCGGTGGCACAGACTTAAGAGGTATGAGAATTCTAACCAAAGTATGTGATCCAAGAGAGACAACAGAGTCAAGGATGGGGCTGTGGGAAACACCACCATTTGAGGAAGGAGGGAAGAGTATCAGACACTGTCATTTGCCCACCATAATTGTGTCTAGTGAGGCCTGCCATCCTCAGTACTTCTGAGATCAACTGGGTATTGTCACATGGTTGCAATGGGACTGCACATGTATGATACCTAGTCATTATCATATAACATATAGACAGAGTAGCCAGGTGACTGAATAAGAAATCGCACACAGGACAAGATGTTAGATCCTGATAGTGTGGACTGTGTAGGGAGCTTTTGTATCCATTTAAGGTAAAACAGCATATGAGGTGCTCAGTGACCCCTTTTCATGACATAACAATCCACATTCCATGACAAAGAGTTGGGGTCCTTGAGAGAAACAATAGCAGAGCACTGATGTTTTCCTTCGGAGGTCCCATCTAAGGCACTTGACATCTGGTGATACAGCACACCTGCCAATTAACACTAGCAAAGACCCCCAGGTGGAGCAGAACACACAACTTTTTTGCTAAAATATGCCATATTAAATCAGAGGTCTAAAAATAATAAATAAACTGGCATTTAATCAATCAATCAATCAATCAGCGGTCATAAACTGATGCTCACCAAGCCCAGTTCAGTTTTAACTGCACATTGGAATCACGTGGAACATTAGAAAATACTCATGACTCACCCTGCCTCCTAAGATTCTGATTTAATTGGCCAGACGTGTGCCTTGGACTTTTAAAAGCTCCCCAGGTGATCCTATGAATAGCCAAGGTTTAGAACCACTGAATGAGCCCATAAATATGTTTTGTGTGACCTGTATTACAGTGGCCTGTACAGTATATTTAAATTTTGAAGTTATTTTCCAATAATTAAAAATTAGTCAATTTCATATACCCAAAATCATCCAGATTTCAGGCTTTCATTGGAATATCTGTACACAGTAGGCCTACCTTCCCACAGGACACTATTCAACTGTGCTGAGTTGCAGCCATACCTGATATAAACATTTTCTCCGCACTCCACAATCCTCCTCCACTCATCCCACTATCACCACTACAGGGCGATGACAGTTGCTGCTTATCTTCCTACTTACACTGTGGCTTTCTTTATATCAGTGTGAAGAGAACTGAAATACTAGTGCTTATCACTGTGTCTCTAACAGAAGCAGGAAAGCAAAAGGCAGTCCAAGACAGCCATCTGTTTCATAGGGCCTGCCACTCATTTACAGTACTTGCCTGTTCCCTACAGCATTTGGGTGTGTGCCCTTGGTTTAAATCTAACCACATTTTCCCAGCAGGAGTACCAAAATGCCTCACAGCCTATAGAGCAAAGAGCTGAGAAATGAGAGCTCCCAAATCTAATTATCTCAATAATTAGATGACTCTCTAATACAACAGAAAGCTGCATAAAAACAGTGAGAAAAGAAGGGGGCACACAATAGCACCAGAGACTGACTTCCAAAATTAAGGAAATGCAAGAAGTTTGAGAATTTGTATTCATCATAAGGGAATGCCTAGAGTCAAAAAAAAAAAAAAAAAAGATTATAACCTTAGGGGTGGATTGCTACTTTGCTCCCTAGAGAGTTGAGAATCAATTCAGCCAACCTTGATTCTATTTGAGAACCCTCATTCCTCATTTTAAACCCATCAGCATTGATACTTTCCTCATCCATCCTCTGGATCTGTGCACTTTATTGACTGCAAATTCATGCACATGTAACTTTTGACATTTTCACTGTGCAAATAAAGAACCCAGGTCCCTGTAGCTGCCCACAGACTGTACAGCGAGCATTTCACAAGCAGCAGTGCAGAGCCATCTACACCCACGGCGAGGTGGCCCTGTCAACACCAGGATTGTTCCCTCTGCCTGCTATACTCTTTTCTCCCTGCCCTCCTTAGTACAGTGAACTCATGTCTCAAGTCTCAAGGACTCATGCCCTCACCACCCTCCACCTAAAGACTGGGCTACTCCCATGTGTTCCTATAGCACCCTATAATTACCCTATCAGAGCACTTATGTGGCCTTTGTAAATGCTTTTAAATTCTCTCTTCTCACAAAAACCAACTGAAAATGAATTAAAGACTTAAATATAAGACCTGAAACTAAGACCTGAAACTCCTAAAAGAAAACATAGGTGAAAAGCTTCATGACATTGGCCTTGGCAATGATTTCTTGACTATGACACCAAAAAGCACAAGCAACAAAAGAAAAAATAGACAAGCGTAGCTATATAAAACTAAAAAGTTTCTGCATAAGAAAGGAAACAATCAACAGAGTGAAAGGTGACCTATGAAATGGAAGAAAACATTTGCAAACCATATGTCTGCTAAGGGGTTAATATCCAAAATATATAAGAAACTCCTATAACTCAATAGCAAAAAACCAAATAACTCAATTAAAAATAGACAAAAGATTTGAATATTTCTCCAAAGAAGACAACAAATGGCCAATAAATATATAAAAAGATATTCAACATCACTAATCAAGGAAATGGAAATCAAAACCACATAAGATGATATATCACCTTCTGCCTGGTAGGATGGCTATTATCAAAAAGGTCAAAAGATAACAAGTGTTGATGAGGATATAGAGAAAAGGGAACCCTTTTACACTGTCGGCGAGAATATAAAACGATACAGCCTCTATGAAAAACAGTATGGAGCTTCCTCAAAAATTAAAAGTAGAATTTCTATATAATTCGGCAATCCCACTTCTGGATACATATCAAAAAAATTAAAACCAGAATCTTGAAAAGATATATGCACTTTCATGTTTATTGTGACATTATTCACAATAGCCAAGATATGGAAACAACCTAAATATCCATCAATAAATGGATAAAGAAAATGTGGTATATGCATATAATAGAATACTATTCAGCCTTAAAAAAGTAGGAAATCCTGCCATATGTGAAAACATTGTGTACCTGAAAAGCATTATGCTAAGTGAAATAATTCAGTCACAGAAGGACAAATACATTATGATTCCACTTATATGAGGTATCTAAAATAGTCAAACTCATAAAAATAGAGTAGAATGGTGGTTGCCAGGGGATGGAGGGAGCGAGAAATGAGAAGTTGCTGTTCAATGGGTATACAGTTTCAGTTTGGAAGATAAAAAAAGTTCTAGCTATCTGCTATAGAACACTTCCTATAGTTAACAATACTGTAGCACTATATACTTAAAATTTGTTGAGAGTAGATCTCATGTTAAATGTCCT